GGGGCCATAATCGTAGGCGGTGCCCTTGAGAATGTAACCCTTTGCGGATGGGGGCCCGAGAAGAGCCGTATCATGTTGCCAGCACAAAGTTAGGTTGCAAGAAGGGGACCTGGAAGCAGTGGGTGGGTCTCCTTTGCCATAAAGGCTCTATGGCCCTCCGCTGCTTCCAGCGAATGTTAAGCTCACTGTCAAGTTCAGAAAATCTTTGGTGTGGATCCTGCCACAGTTGACGAAAGGTTGTCTTAATTATTTCCTGACCATTAGGATCTTTCTCCTCCCTATAGTCTCGAATGAATGTCTTCCACGCTTCTTGCGTATGGGACCTGATTTCGTCTTCCAAGACTTGTTGGGCTTGCTGCAGCCCGAATCGGTGGTCTCTTCTTTCAAACGAGCACCTGGCTCTCCAGGCCAGCATGAGCACTTGCAATCTCGTGTAGGAGAAGAGGTTAGTTGCAAAGGGGGACCACTGCGTCATTAGGTGCTGTTTTTTTCCCAGCAGTAGCAGCCCCAGGTCCCATGGGATATGTTCCCCTGTGAGAGATCGAAAGGCTGCATCCCACCACTGCCATAATTGGGTGACCATGGGACAGGCCAATAGACAATGCTCCAAGGTCGCCCCGGCTGGTGGCGTTGCTCTGCCACAGTAGGCACATATAGGTGATAGCAAACCTTTTTGTTCTAGGTCTGCTCGAGACACCAACCAATCGGGAGTGGGCAGTGAGCGGTGGATGATTTGCCATTTAAGGACTCTCAGGTTTGTGGGCATGATCTTGGCATGCTTAGCCCAAGGCAGATCATCTGTCATATGTGGGTCCTAGGGCGAGTCACCCGCCCATCTGGCGGATAGTGTTTGTTCGATCACTGAGGCGGTCGTTGAGGCCCTGTACCCTCCTTTGACTGTGTAGTCCCATATGTGCATGGACTTTGGGCCAGGCCATTCCCACTCAGTTGGGTCAAATGGAGCTTGGCTACCGGAATCGTGGGTTCAAACACAAACACTCTCTCTTGTGGGTCCCCAACAACACGTACATGCATCAACCCCTGCCAGTTTTCGGCCCCTTCGAGGTTGTCGTTTCTAACGAGTTCGGAGAATCTGCCCCCTGATATTTGAAGGTCGTATGCTTCTAGCGTGCATTACCCTTTGTCATTACTACATACTCTAAACACTGTGAGCGGATGGGGCAAATCTGTGAATTTGATAATCCAGCTTCATCCCCTACCATGGGGCCGGTTTGGATGGTGAGACGCCATGCAAGGGGGAGGGCTTCCTTCAACATGACCTTCCTGTCCCCCCCACGTTCTTGGCATGCTTAAGTCTGCGTTTCGCTGTTCGGTTGTGGCCCAATCATTTGAGTGTGGGTCCCATAAGTTCCCGACTGTATATATTCCCCTTTTGTCCCATGTAAGCCAACTTGAAGGGGAGTTGTTTTTGAGGCTAAACATCTAGGACATAGGGATTACCAAACAGGGGTTGCCTCCAAATATTTTGCCATTTGTTCGGCGACTGTTTTTGCTACGGCCCTCGCTTCCTCCAAAGCTTGAGCACGTATGGCCAGAGGGGGTCCAGGAGGATGTCTACTCTCGCAGCTTGCCTCGGGCTGGTCGGGTGCCGTTGTTGAGGGGGGGAGGGTATAGTCCAGTCTCTGTTAGTCAGCCATTGGAAGGGGTGCAACCTACCGACCGTTCATGGTTCCGGTGCCAGGAAGTCTATTTGAAGGCAGGCTAGTTGGCCCCAGGGGACGCCGTTTCCTATCAATAGTTTGACCACCACTTTGAAGATCAGAGCTTCACTTTCTCTCTCTGGATCCAATAGCCCTAAGCCTCCTTTAGTTCTTGGCTTTGTGAGGACGTCCCAACTTATCCTTGATATGCAGCCCTGAGCTTTGGCGCTGTTTTTCCAGAGATACATTGTTAATGCTTTCCTAAGTCTGGCGTATTGTTGCCTCTTGAGTGGCCAGACTGCTAGTTTGTACCAGATGGCTGCCAGGATCGCATTGTTTGTTGCTAAAAATCTTCCCACTATTGAGGTGTGCAGCCCCTCCCATTTAGCCAGTTGGGCTATTGCCAAGTTGACTAGAATGTCACCATGGTCTTGCGGGCGACCTAGTGCAGTTAACCTTACCCCCAGGATCCAGATGGCGTCTTTAGGGGACTATAGGGGTGCCGATATGAACAGAAGAGGGATTGAACCCCCGTTATGATCCCGCTGTTCAGATAACTCAGCCTTTGGCCGCCGGTTCCATTTTGTAGCCCGCTTTAAGAGACCCTTTCACCAGCGAAATGGACTTACTCCGGGGTAGGAATTTAACGAGCTGCATCTCTGAAAAGTAGCACGGAAATGTACGGGTGGCTTAAACCACCAGTACCTCGCCCAGCTATCGACTCCGACCCTCGGCACACCGGTACCCCCATCCTTGCCGAGGCTTGAAGTACCGGAAATATGGCATACAAAAAAAAGGAGAAAAAAGGAAAACAAAACAAACGGCTTTCTGCAAAAAAGAAAACAAAAAGACAAAAGAAAAAAAACGAGCTCATTTTTGTCCACGCGCCGGAGAGAGAGAGAGAGACACCGCGCGCGCGCGCGCGCGCGAGAGAGAGAGAGAGAGAGAGAGAGAGAGAGAGAGAGAGAGAGAGAGAGAGAGAGAGAGAGAGAGAGAGAGAGAGAGAGAGAGAGAGAGAGAGAGAGAGAGAGAGTAAAAGGACAAAGACGTGAAGGAAACCAGAAAATTGGCGAAAAAACATTCATCAAATCTGGGAAGCGTTGTGCATGGGGGGGGCTTCTCAAGCCCCCCAGCAAGGTAACGAGAGAGCGATGAGCAGAGGGCAACAGCATAATGAAAAAAGCAACACATCGCTCTCTCGTCACCTTGACCTCTGCTTTCAGTATGTCCTCCCTCGTTCACCATCACCTGCACATGCGTACAGTTTCACTGAACGGCTTCATTTGCACAAAACCTGCGCCCTTCTCTGATGTCGCATCTCACTCTTAGTTGATCGAGGAGACAGACACCATCTCCATCTTGCACCCACCTCATGGCCTCTTGGCGGGCATCTTCATTGCTTAAACCCACATGACATATCTCGCGGAGTTTATCTCACGACATCCCTAATCACTCTAGGATATTCTGCGGTGTATCTAATCGGAATCCCCACCAGATTCTCTCTATCTAGTCTCAGTGTGAGTATGCCCTCAGACCCAACGCATCTAGTTTACCTGCGAGTTCATCTCCTCGTAGCTCTGCGCTCAACCTCATGCTTGTGAGTCGAAGAAACATGTGCCATATCAGTTCTGCGGTTTATCATACTTATTGGTACATGTCACTAGAGACTATGCAGTGGCAACAAACGGCTAACGGTGCCGGTCATCCGCACTCACCTTCACACTCCACAACAACCTACCTCCTTCAGCATTCTGCACGCCTCTCTGTCACCAGCCACTCAGCTTCAGCTCTCTCTCCTCTCTCTCTCTCTCTCTCTCTCTCTCTCTGCACTCACCTTCACCATCCACAAACCTACCTCCTTCAGCATTCTGCATGCCTCTCTGTCACCATCCACTCAGCTTCAGCTCTCTCTCTCTCTCTCTCTCTCTCTCTCTCTCTCTCTCTCTCTCTCACACACACACACACACACACACACACACACACACACACACACAGATCTGGAAGCTGCCAGAGTGTTTAGGAGAGAGGTTCTTGCGAATACGAGCAACGCTGCACGGCAAGCTCAAAGCGGACTCGCTCAGCAAGTACGAAAGCAACAACGCAATGAATGGCCTCATCATATTTACATCAATGTTGTGGATCCTCTTTGATCCCATACCACCAAGCTCATTTCATTCCATGCCACAATACCAATCAACTGTAGTGATCGGTCCAGTCAATTGCGCTTCCATAAACGTACCTTGCGGCGACGGTCGCATTGCTCAACTATCAGATACATTTGCACTTGGCCTACTTCAACAGAATTCTGTCCCTTCCATGGTCAGATACATCCAGGAAGGTGTTGGCGTGATGGACTTTCTCCTTCGAGGGGAGTTCTCACCCATACCACAATACCAACCTTTCTGCTCCGCTCTGCTGGCGGAGTTTCCCTACACCTACCAACCACTCATGCTGCGACCAAGCTGTTTGTTGCTCAGACGACTGAGGGGAGTTCTGGGATGCACACGACTTGGGGGGGGTTCTGGGATGCACACGACTTGAGGGGCTTACTCACATGAGGACCTTTTTTTCACTGCATCCAGCCGTAATTGAGGTCAGATTCAGTTCAGAGAGTCCTGGTGTGCAGATGCCCCTTCCTTAGAAGCTTGCACGGCGTCGCTTCCACTTGCCATAGCCACTACTGCCGTCCCACTTCCTCTTTGGTTCAAACCCTGCATTCCCTGGCATGCCCATCTGGTTAGCGCCTGGGTAAGGCCCCATCCTTGGTGAGTGAACTGGCATGTATCCTGTTGCGGGGCCAAACCCCCCCATCCCTCCATCCATGGGCGGGGGCTGCCCTACCCATCCCAGCTGCTGCTGCTGCTGCTGCCAAGGCTGCTGCTGTTGAAGAAACGGAGGTGTATACTGTGGTTGGACTCGCATGTCAGGGTGTCTATATGTTGGATGTCTTGGCAATGGCTGACCTGGTCGACGTCTTCCCACAGGGCCAAAAATATACTCCATCAGCGATTCATGCTTCAGTGGCCTCTCGTTAACGGCCATGTGCAAAGTAGCTTTCACTACGGCAGTGATTTCATCAAATTCTCTCTTCCGACATGCTCTGGCACAATTCGTATCCCGATCTAAGAAGTCCTCCACCTGGCAGAGGCCATCAAAAACCCACATGCATCCAAGGACAATCAGGAAACTTCTCCCTCACACAACCATTCAATTGAGCACCCTCTCTAGCCTCTCATCTCTCTCTCTCTCTCTCTCTCTCTCTCTCTCTCTCTCTCTCTCTCTCTCTCACACACACACAC